TGGTGAAAGAATATAATCCTGGCACATACCTTTCCTAATTTTAAACCATTCAGTGTTCCCTCATTCTGTTCAAACAACTGCGTCTTGGTGTATGTACATGATCTATGGTATGGCTGGAACATAGAAAGTGATGTAAGGAAACCTCATCTTTCTCCCTCAAAGTGACTGGTCGATTTGAACTGATGATGCTAATTAGCAGCCCAATTTGTAATCTATTATGCTAGTATGGAGTAGTAAATTAAAAATGTTGAAGGAAAACAAAAGCAAAGATTAGAGTGGTAAACATAGCCACTGCTTACCCATCCTTTTCAGTCTTCCTTTCGTTCTTATAGAATCCTGAATATGTGTAAATCACAATATACTAAGGGTGTATATTTTAGTAGTTCATAAAAATAGGGAAAAAAAGTATATAGTCTTTTGAATGAAGACCCCTGTTGGCTCTGTAGGATAAGCACTGGACTGCTGAGAGAACAAATGTTTAAACATGCTAACCACTCCATGAGCAAAAGATGAGGATTTTTTGCAGCTATAAAGGTTTACTCTGGTAGCATAATAGTTATGAATTGGGCTACGAACCGCAAGATCAGCAGTTCGAAACTACCAGCTGTTCCACGGGAGAAAGATGAGACTTTCTGCTCCTGTAAAGATTTACAGCCTCGGAAACCCTGTACAGGGTCGCTATGAGTCGGAACTGACTCCACGGCACATAACAACAACAACTTCATTGCTTGCATATAGCACAAGTTGTTTATCCATGGTCCTATCCTAAATATTTGGGTTGTTTCCAACTTGTGGCATTTTAATTGTTGTGGAAACAGTGGAACCTTGCTATCGAGTATTCTCTGTTTCTCTTTGCAGGATATGGAAATCAGTGTTTATGGTTATGCATCACCAAATATATCACTTGACTCTCCACTCTGGTTTGGATTGCCACCTTGGGTTGTTTCATTTCAGTGATGTGCTTCCCTGACTGATGGAAAAACCCAAACATTTCTATCATGATTCTAGTCTCTAGGAAACTATTTTTAGGATACCAAAAATAGTTTGTGTTTCTCCCCTTTATTCTCATATTCCTTATTTTATTGTGTACTTAGATTCTTTATCACCAAATCTTTGTATTATTGTACCAAGTTCATTCATGTGAGATCCTTAAGGGGTGTAGTTATATGGTAGTGGAGTGGTGGTGGTTATGTACCTTGGAGTTGGTTCCAACTTAAAGAGACACTTATAGGGTTTCCAAGGCTGTAAAGCTTAATGAGAGAAGAAAACCTCATCTCTCTCCCTCTGACTGGTGGATTTGAACTAATGATGTTAATTGTTGTTGTTGTTGTTATGTACCATCTAGTCGGTTCCGACCCATAGCGACCCTGTATAGGGTTTCCGAGGGTGTAAATCTTTACGGGAGTAGAAAGCCTCATCTTTCTCCCGCGGAGCAGCTGGTAGTTTCGAACCGCTGACCTTAAGGTTCGCAGCCCGATTCGTAACCACTACGCTACCAGAGCTCCTTAATGATGTTAATTAGAAGCCCCTAATTATAATCTGGAAAGAGCTCTGGTAGCGTAGTGGTTAAGAATCGGGCTGCTAACCTTCAGGTCGGCAGTTCGAAACTACCAGCGGTTCCGCTGGAGAAAGATGAGGCGTTCTGCTCCCGTAAAAATTTACAGCCTCGGAAACCCTGGGCAGGGTCACTATGAGTCGGTACCGACTCCATGGTACTTAACAACAACAACAATTATAATCTGGAGTCCTGGTGTGGCACTGTGGTTTAATGCACCAGACTGCAAAGCCATTTGAACTGCAAGGTCGGTGGTTCAAGTTCACCAGCTGCTCCTTGGAAACCCTATACAGGGTCGCTATGGGTCGGAATTGACTCGACGGCACTTAATAACAACAACAACAACATACTAGTATGAGAGTCTTGGTGTGGCCGTTGTGTGCTAATGCATCAGACTGCAAAGTCATTTGAAGTACAATGTCGGTGATTCAAGCTCACCAGCTACTCCTTGGAAACCCTATACAGGGTTGCTATGGATCAGGATCGACTTGTCAGCACTTAACAACAACAGCAAACAACATGCTAGTTTGGGGTAATAAAAAAAGTGGAAGGAAAACTAAAAGCATGCATTTTCAACTTTTTTCCCCTATTACAGAGGTTGTATAAGGCATGCCGAAATGTGCTGTAAATTTGATTAGGTAAATGACAAAATACAGAAAAAAAAATCTGAGAAAACCCTTAGATCAAAATCTATATAATTATCTTACTATGCAGTGCATTCAATCCCAATTAAAATCAATTCAACACTCTGCCTAGAACACAAGAGAAAAACAAGTGGTCACAAGGAAAAGTGCATGATCTTTGTTTAATTGTACAGAGTTTCAAAATAATGTTAATATGGCTTCCAATATTTAATGTTCATGTGCACACATGCAATGGACAAATCCTGGATTATTTTTTTTTAAGCGAATAAACTAACAGCCATAGAGTAGTTTGGTAATAAAAGAATGATAATGATAAGCCTAAATGAGTAATATATGCATTTTCTCATTAATCTATGTTTCAGAAAATAAGGTCATTTGGGCCATGTGGAGATAATTTATGGGGCCATTGTTTGAACATGTGCTTACAAAAAACTGTGATTTCTATGGGACTTCCCTGTATCCCTTATCTAATTTCCAATGTGTCCTCCAAAATTGTATTGTTTTATAACTCCCTTCTCTAATTAATTTTTTGTCCTTAGTACTCACTACACATTTTAACATTCTGATAATTTCAGTTACTTTTTTATATTTCAGGTTAGTATTCCTTTCTTAACTATAAGACCAGGTGGGCATGGATCATTATTTGTCTGTTACGTTCACTATTTGTAGCTTCAGAACTTAGAACAGTAGCTGACAAAGAGTAGGGTATCCACACATAATTGCCAAATGAACCATGGACAGCCAGAAAAACTAATGAATTTACCTAGGAAGATGTAAATCAGAATGTGCCTTAGAATTGAGAATGGTAAGACTTCCTTTCATGTACTTTGGAAATGTGGAAGGGAGGGATCCATCCCTGGAGAAGGAAAGCATGTTTTGTAAAGTAATAGGTCAGTAAAGAAAACAGGAAGGCTTAAGAAGATGGGCTGACATAGTAGCTGGAACAATGGGATCAAACCCAGCAAGGAGTGTGAGGATGGTATAGGACCAGGCAGTGTTTCATTGTAATATGCCTAGGGGCATTGTGCATTGGAATAGATTTCAGGAGTCCTGGTGTGGTACTGCAGGATAGTGCTCTGGACTGCAAAGGTGGTATGAGTCACAAGGTTCAAATCTACCAGCCACTGCTTGGAAACCTATACAGGGTCACTATGAGTCAAAATGGACTCTAAAGCACTTAACAACAATAACAATAAGGTGATCTGCAAATAATTAACTTTGTGTATCTTCCCAGTGTGAAATATTTATTTTAGTAATAATACAACTTATTGAGTATTTACTATGTGCCAGACAATGTTCTAAGCAGTTTCCACATTTTGACTCACTTAAAAGTTTACTTATGTATATATGTATCATTATTTTTAAACTGCAAACAGGAAAATTAGCACATAGGAAAGTTCAATCCCTGGCCCAATAATGGATGGTTAAAATACACATTCAGACATTCTGAGTTCAAAGTCTGAGTTTTGGATTCCATGATAGTTGTTGTTGTTAAGTGCTATAGAGTCAATTCCAAATCAAAGCAACCCTGTATACGATTTCCAAAGAGTGAATGGTGGGTTTGAACCATCAACCTTGTGGTTAGCAGTCCAGTGTTCATTCTATAGTGCCACGCCAGGACTCAAAACTGATCTACCTGTAAAGGAAGAATCTTAAGGTAAGGGAATATTTGACTCTTCTTAAATATTTTTCCACTCTTAGAAGCAGAACAGTTTCCCAGGAGACACAGACTCCTGTGGTTGAACACAGCTCAGAGTGTGAGCTAGGGAAAAAGGATGGTAAATCACCTACTTCAAAAGGTGAGTTAATTCCTCTAATGAACTGGAGATTCTTTATACTGTACATTTAATTATGCACGTTCTTTTTCATCTCCTTTACATTTCAATCCTCATTTCTTCTATCCTGACCTGATTCATATGCCATTAAAGAAAATTTAGCAAGGGTGCACTGCCTGATGCAGTCTAATGTTCAGCAAACTGATGATTTCTTTTGGGGGAAAAAAAAAGTGACATGCATATGCATGGATGTCTCAATCTGAATATGGTCCTTCCTAAAAAGGAAGTGGAACATGCTTTCGGTTTCATACCACACTACACGGATGAGAGGAATTAGCCATGGAGGGTGAGTTTTTGACTGTCTAAAATGATTATGTCTTGAGGAGGAAATTTTTTTTTGGTTTTGCAAGGGGTAGGCTCTTCTAGGACCTCTAATTAGGCTCTGTGAATGCTTATTGGAGTAAACTGAGGGATTAAGAAAAGAAGGAGGAGAGGACAAAGAAACAGAGAAGAAAACTTTGCCTATCCAGAAACTATAAAAGCCTTTATGACAGCAAAAATCTAGGGGCAGAAAGGAACAGGAGCTATCCTGGCATCCTCTGTCATTTTGCAATCATAACTGAATTCTTAATGAGATGAGCCTATCTGAGGGTGTAAAAGCAGCCTGGGTTAAGAACCAGCAACTGTTACCTCCAAAAGAAATGGGCTAATACTCAGCCTTATTCAGACTTGAATAACCAGGGGGAAGAGCAGAAGGATATCTGATCCTCATGAGTCTCTGCAAGGACAGAAAAGTTCAATCTCCAGACCACTCAGTGTGTAAGTGTGGATAATACTAAGGGAAGAAAATGGCATGGGGATATCATTTAAAAATTCTCTATATCCAGGTTACTGAAATACATGGAGCGAGATATTTTATTTTAGTGGTTTAATTTAAAGGTTGTTGTTTTCTATATTGGCATGAGGAAAACAAACAAACAAACAATTTTCATGGGCTGGGGAATTCTGTTTTTTCCAACAGACAAAGTCCTAAAGGAGAAAAGGACGGTGTTTATCCAAGCAATGAACAAGGGCACATTAAATGGCTTGTTGGATGAACTATTAGCAGAAAGAGTTCTGAACGAGGAGGAGATGGAGACAATAAAGGATGGAAATACTACCATTAAGGATAAGGCCCGAGATTTGATTGACTCCGTCACTCGGAAAGGACCCCGCGCGAGCAAGATATGCATCACTCATATTTGTGAATTAGACCCCCTCCTTGCAGAAAAACTGGGACTCTCCTCAGGTAAGGGTCAATGACTCAGATTAAATTTTAAGTAGGTGCTGAGCTGAAAATCCAATATCTCCACTAGGTGTGTCAGTGTGCAGAAGATTCCCTTGCCTTTGGACTTAGAGCCCCATTTCTCACAGTGGTCCTATTGTAGATTTCTTAGCTCTTTTACTCTTCTTTCCTGTTCCTTTGTCTTCTGTTTCCTTCTGTTTATTAGAGATCACTTGTTGTTCTGTGTATTTGGTGGCTCAGTTTTTGAAGTTTATGGGAATAGTCTGAAAATTTCATCCTGTACCCTCAATCCCTTGGAAAGTCAGGTTATCATTTTTGGTTTTTGGTTTTTGTATTTTTGACAAATCCAGGGATCCCTAAATTTAGTAGAAATGCTCGTTAGGGTTTCCAAGACTGTAAATCTCTATAGGAACATGTAGTCTCATCTTTCTTCCTCAGGATAACTAGTGGATTTGAACCTCTGACCTTGTAGTTAGCATCACAATGCTTAGCTCACAGTGCCACCAGGGCTCCAAGGCATCCCTGTTGTTGTTGTGTTGACTGATATCCACTTGCATGGTACTAGACTGTGGACCACCTAAGAGACTCCGTTACTCTGTGTCCAATCCTTCTATGGCCCCACACAAGGGCTCAGGCATCTGAACTGACCCTAAATTTCCTTAATCCCTCCATACTGAAGATGGAAGTTATGGAAGATGGCTAGGTACTAAGAACTGTTGTCCTTTTGAAAGCCACTGCAAAGGGAAGAGATGCGCTTTGAAAATATGAAACCTATGCATGTCTGTCAAAGTCCGGGTGTGATGCTGTGGGTTAATGTGTCAGACTGCAAAGTCAGTTTGAACTGCAAGCTTGGTGGTTCAAGCTCACCAGCCCCTCCTTGGAAACCCTATACAGGGTCACTCTGAGTCAGGATTGACTTGTTGGCACTTAACAACAACAACAACATATGTCTGTCAGCGTTGACTTAGCAGATGTTGTCTGTGTTTATCTGTGCAAAATGAATTTTTTGTTTTCCTTTCCATCTCTGTTTCCTATTGCACAATCTCTATTCCACACCCAAATTAAAAATGATCAATCATTATCAATAAGGATTAGCACCAATAATAAAATAGTCAAGACTTCTTCTTCCTTATTTCATTCTTTCCTATCCACAGTTCTTGAATCTTAGAAGCATTTGCACAGATCACTGGGATACTTGAGCTACCTGAGTCAGCCTTTCTAGTTACCAAATGATATCCCCTTAGTTAGGTTTGTCATAGTTTTCTCTCCCCCTCATCTATTTTCCAGGGTTTTTTGTTGTTGACATTGTATTGTTGTTAAGTGTCATTGAGTTGGTTCTAACTCATAGTGACTGTATATGGTTTTCGAGGAGCCACTGGTGGGTTTGAACCACTGAACTTGTGGTTAGCAGTCCAGTGCCTCTACTTATTGAATGCACTTCAATGGGAGAGACTGTCTAAAACAAATTTCTTGACATGTATGCCACTTCCTTAACAAGACCTTCCCTAGAAAATTTTCTTAAATGTTTTGATGATTAATTTAGCCCACCTTCTAGATAAAAAGGTTGGGGAAAGCTGCCTTGGACTTGAAATTTTTTGGGATTGTCTATGGCTCTCTTGCACTTAGATAGGGACATGAATTGTGGCAATTTTGTCTTTAACAGATACTGTTAACTGAAGACTTGCAGTTCCTCATATTTTAGTTCATGCCAATTATAATGTTTCTAGAATGTTTCTTAGATGGGTATGCTTATAGTTAGATTCTTATAAACCCCTAAATAAAATGAATGTCGATTCCTGTCCATCATAATGGAGATCCCAGAGGAAAGATTAACAATTGATTTGGGCGATTTTATGTAACCAGATAGTGTAACTAAAGGTTTTCAGAGTGTTCCTCCTGAGACTAGGGCATATGTTACTGACAGGCAGATTGCCTTTGCCTAGGAGATTCCAGAAATTGCAGTTAGAGCACCCATTACATGTTTGAATGCAATATGTCATTTGTGGGCCAGCTGGCAAAGTAGCTTAGTGATTAAGAAGTAAGATGAGAATCAAGATAGATCTGTGTTAGGATCCTGTCTGCACAAGTTTCCTTTTCTATGACACTTAGAAAATTTCCTTAAACTCTCTGAGATAATAAGTTAATGGTCCTTGCCAAGGATGGCTTTTTACCCCAACAAAGTGAAGATAGATGTTCTCATGTTCAGCTGCATACTAAATTCAGTTGTACTCCCAAAAGACACCAAATAAACTAGTACCTAAAAAGCCATCCAGTGCTTACCACAAACTACATGGCCATTGCTTCTTCTTCCTCTTCTTCATTTTAGTGTTCACAGTGAAATGTTTAAAGAATGTAGGGAAAGAGGAACAGAACACGTTTAGTTAAGATTGCAAAATATTTTCCAGAAGTTCTACAATAATATAGCATTAAATTTATAAAATCATTTAACCTATGTGTCAGAAATCTCTCCGGACCCTGAAGATTTTATATTCATGGGCACAGGTTGGAGGTCAAAGAGGGGCTATTAATATTAATGAGGAATACGTGTAAAACACTTTCAAATAACCTTCTTTTCCCCAAAACAGGTTGAAAAACCCTGTAGCTCCAGTATGTCTCTGAACTCCAAAGTTCCCAGATTCTGAATGAATTCTTACGGCAATTTTATTAATTCATCTTAGACTTTGAACTGAGTTTCTGAGCAGGTCACTTCATCATTTGCTGCTATGATAAATCTTGTAAAGGGTACCGTATGGATGCCTTTTCTTGATAGTATTACCCAAATCCCAATTCAGCTCTGAGGTAGAACACTTCATTTTCTATAGCATGTCATGCACAAGTGGCTATCTCAGGAACCACCACAAAACATCCACATAAAGAGATTTATTGGCTCTATGTCTGGTCATGTCTTAATTTCACTTTAATCATAGAAAGCAGAGATCAAGTGAGTCACCTCCAAACATTATTTTGTTCTTCAATTGTGAAATTACTGTCCACTTATTCACTGTGTAGAGGCTTTTGTTTCTCAACAGTAAGTTTCAGGTAAGTCATACCTTAAACAGATATTATCAGCCAGGCCAGTGGAAATGATTTTTACTGAGGTGTGTACAACATATTGGAATAATGTTCTTCAGAGGTGATAAGTGGCTATCTTAAAGAATGACTGTTTTCTCTTTCCTCAGGTACCCAATCTGGAAATGACAGTAGTGCACAAACCTTGCCAGTAGCAGTACCTTTCATGCAAGGTAACGAACGGAATTTTCAGAGCAAGTATCTTTTGTGAACTCCATCTTCCTTGACTTTAACTACTGAGCTTTGAGGTGAATCATGAGGGTAACACAAAGGAATCGATCCTATGCCTTGTTCTTTTTTCATTCTCCTCTCCTTTTCACAATAGCATTAGTTTCTGTAACTTCACTACCCATGTAGATACTGACAAATTCTGAATTTGTATTCCAAACCCTGAGAACCACTTGAGTCCCAATCTTCTCTATTCAAGTGCGCACTGAATATATTCACTGAAACATTACATAGACACATTTACCTAAATATGCTCAAAGCTGAATTTACCATTCTTCCTGTAACTTGCTTCCTTCCCAGTTTCCCCTTTGTTGGTCAATTTCACATCATCAGCCAGTAATTCAAACTAAAAATGTGACCATTTCCTTCTCCCTCATTTACAACATTCAAGAAAATATCCAATTTAATTAAGCCTTCCCTCCAACAAGAGTCTATCTCTCCATTACTTCTTCTACTACAATATTGCAGAGACCCACGTCCTATAGTGTTCTAAGATTCTTTAGCTATGATTCTCATATTTTTCATGTATCTATTACTGGTGCTCCACTAGATGTTTAAGCCTTATAAAGAAATTACACACTTCTGTCTTGTTCATAACGATGGTCTTAATTAAATATTTGGATCATAGTCACCATGCAACGAATATTTGGTAAATATTGTTTCACTGAATGATTTGATTAATATCAATAATAATAATTAGGCCATTTTAAAAGATGCCATACTATATATATATATATAAGTCAAGCTCACCAGCCACTCCTTATAAATCCTATACAGGGTTGCTATGAGTCATAACTGACTTGATGGCACTTAACAACAACAGTATATACATGTATGTGTATATATAACATGCAAGATAAAGATGAGGCTTTCTGCTCTCATAAATATTCACATGTATATATATATAACATGCGAGATAAAGATGAGGCTTTCTGCTCTCATAAAGATTTACATGTATGTATATATAACATGCAAGATAAAGATGAGGCTTTCTGCTCTCATAAAGATTTACAAACTCATAAACCCTATGTAGGGTTTCTATGAGTCAGAACCAACTCCATGGCACACCACCACCACCACCACCACCATATATCATATGCTAATTATGTTCCAGGCCTATTCTATGGACTGGGCCAAGAATGCGAGGAAAACACAAAACATCTGTTCTAGAAGGATAAACAAAACACCAAAACATCTGTTCATAAATGTATGAAGCAAAACTGATTAGACATAAGAATCTTCTTCATCAAATTAAGATTAGATAAAAAAAAAAAAAAAAGCAATAAAAATGCCTCGTGTCACACTCGTATCAGTTCAGATAGCAGGATGGAAGAAATTAAGTTATCGTTATTCAGATATGATATAAATATATTTGTTAATTTAACTTTATTTCATTAATTTTATTCATGAAAATTATGAGTGCTTATTGCCCCACCAAATAATAATTCAGACACTTAGACATCTTTCTACTTGTGGCTCAGATAACTGCCACATAATGTGCCAAAGTAATCACGGCCAACACTATCTAATTAATGGAATTGTAAACAACCGGGAGGATCATTTACTTATGTTTGTACTCCATTATATGGAATTCAGTCACATGAATACACCTAACTATAAGAGTGGTTGAAAATGCTGACTAACTGTGTGCTCAGAAAGAAGAAGAAATGTAATAGCTAGTGAGTACTTGCCACACAAATTTAAGCAAAAAATTTTCACTGAACTCAGTAGCAGAAGTACATGCATTCTCTAGTTCCTAAATGACAAGGAAGATATTTAAAGATTTTAGTGCTCTTACCTGGCAAGGTCAACATGCTCTACGGTTTTGTTTTATTTGGGGGACAGATTTATTTTTATATGAATCCAGCCTCATTCGTACCACACAATCAGTATTTTAATTGTTCTCAGACATATTTTATTTTCAAATTCTGGGAAGACTTCATCCAGAAGTTTCCTTTATATGTACCTTATATTTGAAAGAAATTTAGTGGTCAAGAATTCAACTATTTCACCAAACTCAGACATTACTCTATCGAATCATAAAGGATGATTATTCCATGCATGCTTGAATATTCATAGGTTAGGGAACTCAGCATAAAATTAAGAAACATTATCATTGAGAACCAAAGCTCTCTATTTAAATTTTCCCATTGAGAAAAAATGGATTATCTTGAACACTTAACTGTCCTCCTGAGAAGCCTGTACATACATAGACCAAGAATCAGCCATTCGAACAGAACAAGGAGACACTGAATGGTTTAGAATCAGGATAGGTGTGTGCCAAGGTTATATTTTTTCACCATACTTATTCAGCCTGTATATGGAGCAAATAATTAAAGAAGCTGAATTATAAGAAGAAGAACGTGGCATCAGGGTTGTAAGAAAACTCATTAATAACTTGCAATATGCAGATTATACAACATTGCTTGTTGAAACCAAAGAGGAGGTAAAATACTTGGTGGTGAAGATCAAAGACTAAAGTTTTTAGTATGGGTTGCATCTCAATATAAAGAAAACAAAAGTTCTCACCACTGGAGCCTGATAAATGGAGGGTCAGAAAAAAACAGGAAGACCCCCAAAGAGATGGATTGGCACAGTTGCAGCAGCAATGGGCTCAAGCATAGCAAGGAATGTGAAATTGGTGCAGGACCAGGCAGGGTTTGGTTCTGTTGTGCATAAAGTAGTTATAAATTGGAACTGACTCAATGGCACCTAATAACAATAACGGAGTGCTAAATAACATCATGGAAATGGAGAACTTATGGAAGTTGTCAAAGACGTCCCCTTTGCTACAGTCCACTATCAACATTCATGAAGCAGTAGTCGAGAAATCAAATGAAATAGTGCATTAGGCAAATGTGCTGCACAGACTTCTTTAATGTGTTCAAGACCTGAGATATCAATTTGAGTACTACTGTTCACCTGGTCCAAGCCATGTTATATTCAATGCATGTTAAAGTCAGGCAATGAATAGGAAGACCCTAGAATTGATGCAGTTGAGTTATGGATAAGAATATGAAAAGTACCATGGACTGCCAGAAGAACAAACAAATCTATGTTGGAAAGAAGTACAGCCAGAGTGTTCCTCAGAAATTAGGATGGAGAGACTTCATTTCTCATTTTTGGGACATGTTATCAGGAGGCAGTAGTCCCTGGAGGAGGACAATATGATTAGTAAAGTGGAGGGTTAGTGAAAAAAAGGAAGACCCCAATGAGATGGATTGGCACAGTGGCAGTAGCAATGGGCTCAAGCATAACAAAGGTTGTGAGACCGGAGCAGGACCAGGCTATGTTTTGTTCTGTTGTTCATAAGGTTGCTTCAGTGACTCGGCAGCACCTAACAAGAACAACAATTCTTTAGACTTCCCTTAGAAGAACAGCAAGGTCAGCAGTTCAAAACTACCAGCTGTTCCGCGGGAGAAAGATGAGACATTCTGCTCCCGTAAAGATTTACAGCCTTGGAAACCCTGTACAGGGTCGCTATGAGTTGGAACTGACTTCACAGCTCACAGCAGCAGAGGCAACAAGAAGAACCAGAGCATTGAACTGCAAGGTAGGAAGTTCAATCTAACCAGCCATTCCTTGGAAACCCTATACAAGGTCACTATGAATCAGAACCTACTGGATGGTACTTAACAAAAACCAGAAATAAATAATGATTTCTATAATTTTCTGCAGTATATCTGTTTTAATTATTTCTTGTTTTTTCCAAAGTCAAGGCACTTTATGCTGCCTTGGTTCATCTATACTGAATATTAAACAGTATCTTCAAATCCTCTTCTACGTGTAATTCAAAATTGAATATAATTTTCTAGTTAAGTTGCTTACTTTCAAAAGGACTCTCCAAATATATAGAAAACATCTTATTTTGAAACTGACAAATATTGCATCAACTTCTTTAAAAAGGAATCACATTGTAGGAAGATGTTTAAATTGGGTCAAAGAGGGCCTCAGGCCTTTTCTCATTTGTTGTTGTTGTAAAATGCTGTTGAGTCCATTTCGACCCACAGAAACCCAATACAGGGTCGCTATGGGTCAGAATTGACTCAATGGCACTTAATAACAACAACAAGGAGCAGCTGGTGAGCTTGAGCCACCGACCTTGTGGTTCAAATGGACATTGCAGTTCTTCATATGTTTACACAATCAACATGTAATATTATGACTCCATCAAGTGCATACCATGATTGTAGCATTTCTCATTCAATTTCATATTTATTTTATTTCACATATTCAGTATCCCTCTGTCTTTTATCCAAATGTACACACAGTAAATAGACATTGTAAAGGACATGAAAAATACTTCTTTATCTTTATCTTCATCATCCTCACCTTCATTTTCTGCTTTTACATTCCTAATGCATAGTATTAGGTCTATTAAAAAAATAAATAAGTAGCAGACTATATATCCTTTAAAATATTTAAATACAGCAATTAAAATCTTCTTCTATTAGCTTTTCAGCTTATAAAATATCTGTGTATATTCTTTATTTTATCTAAAATGTATCATATTTTATCTGAGAGCTTTTTGATTAATTGTCTTCAAAACCTCCCTTTCTATGTGTTTATACCAAAATAATTATGCTGTTTCCCAAAATTCTTGGTTCTCAAGGATGAAGGTAGATTCCTTTATCTCACCACAAGAAATTTCCCTCTGTATTGAATATGTGCCATCAATAGTAGTGAACTCATTAAGCAATGTTGTAACTAGTCCAAGGTTCTTCTCTGAAGAAGCATTACCTCCTTTCTGGCTTCGTATGTAGATGAAGCTATGAGAAGTATCAAGTAAGAAAGTCAGGCATGCCATTTTCCATATTTTTTTTTGTCTCTTACAGCTTCCTCAGCAATGCAGGACAGCCCAGCTAAGCTCACATCCTCAGCACCAGGAAGCTTTCTTAAACTTTGCTCTCCAGAAGGCGCACAAAGGATATGGAATGAAAAGTCAGCTGAGGTATTGTAGTCAGAACACAAGGATCAAGGGTGATAGATATGTTTAAGGAGATTTCATAGTGCAGTGGCTCTTTCTTAGAGCCAGTTTTATTGAGGTATTCTCAAAAACCATCAGGTTACTTCCTTTATATAAATCAATCCTATCTTCTAGATGTCTAGGGTTATGTGGAGACTAAGGTTTGTCTGATAAGTTGAGTAATTAACAACAGCAACTATTGAGCATTTACTATGTGTCAGGCATTCCCATAAGCATTTACATATAATAACGTGCGAAATGCTAAAGTCCACCACTTCTCTGTCAGTTTGTCTATCAGTTTGTCATACTGTGATTCTGGAGGCTATACCATGGGTATTTTAAATAGCAGCATGGTCACCCATGTTGGACAGGTTTCAGATGCGCTTCCAGATGAAGACAGACTAGGAAGAAGGAGTGATGAACTACTTCTGAATATTTAGTAACTGAAAAGTTGATGAATAGCAGAGAAACACTGTCAGATATAGCACTGGAAAAACAGTCCCTCATGTTGGAAGACACTCAAAATGCAACTGGGGAAGAGCTGCTTCCTCAAAATACAGATGACAGTGATGACGTAAATGAACTAAAGCCTATGGGAGTAAAGCCCTCGGGACCTTCATTTGCTGATGAGTCACAACTCAAAATGAAAAGAAACAGCTGTAACATCCATTAATAATCAGAACATGAAATGTACAAAGTATTGATCTAGGAATATTGGAAATTGTCAAATATGAAATGGAATGCATAAACATCGATATCTGTGGCATTAATGAGCTGAAATGGACTGGTATTAACCGTTTTGAATCTGACAGCTACATGGATTACTATGCCTGGAATGACAAATTGAAAAGGAACAGTGTTGCATTTATTGTCAAAAAGAATATAT